CTTTTTTTTTTGGCTTATCCATTTCCTTTGTTCTTCAATTTTAGAGAACATTATTCTAAGTTACTTACTTATAATGGGCATTTCAGAATACTGCTTTCCAATTAAGGGGAACCAAAGTTTTGCCACTCCAAAATATGCCTTATGGCATACTGACTTTAAGCCGGTTATTAAGAAACAAGATTCAGAAAGAACCTTTGGCTCTCCCCCTCATCTGCCTAAAGGAATTCAGATAGAAAAATCTGCTTAAAGGAGGGAAGCATCACCTTAGCATCACAATATAAAGGAAATGTGGCAGACTGGGAAAAATCTAGCAAAGCCTGTTTGTTAGACTCCCCTCCGTATCCCATTGTTCCTGGGTGGCCCAGCAAGAAATTGTTTACCACGTTTGCTCTTTTACATCTACCCATAAATTGGCTGCCTTCCCTTTAAAATCCGACACCTGTGCCTCCCTCTCCTTTGTCCAGAGTGGCAAATAAACCTCAACTGTCCAATGTGGCTTTGGGTCTCCTATTCTTTTCTTTTTTTTAATAGAAAACTTTTTTTTAGTATATCTTTATTGATTTTAGAGAGAGGAAGGGAGAGAAAGAGAGACAGAAACATCAATGATGAGTCATTGATCGGCTGCCTCCTGCACGCCCCCGACTAGGGATCGAACCCACAACCTGGGCATGAGCCCTGATGGGGAATCGAACCTGGATCTCCTGGATCCTAGGTTGATGCTCAACCACTGAGCCACGCTGGCCAGGCTGGGTCTCATATTCTTATGGCACCCCCACATGCACCTCAGTATTATTTTTTGGACATTTTCTCCTGTTAATCTCTCTCTTTTTCTCTCTGTCTCCCTCCCTCCCTCCCTCCCCCTTCCTTCCACTCTCTAAAATCAATGGAAAAAATACCCTGAGTAAAGATTAACATAACAAAACAAAAAACCTTGAATATACTGAAGATCCTAAAAACACTATTAAAGATCTTGGTTACGCTATCAAATGGAAGTGAGGAACAATTATTTTTCCTTAGATTCTTGCTTAGGTAGTAAACTTGTCTACTTTGGAAGGCGATTATACTGTAAGAGAGATAAAGCAAAATAAGTTACATCTTATTTCCACTCTCCTTTAACCTTCATTTTGCTTTTGTTTTCTATTAAGAGTTTTTTCTATATATTTTTACATCAGATTTCGTGGATGGTTGAATTTTTAATTTTACTTTTAATATGAAAATTAATTAGAAAAGGGTAGCTTCTCAGCAGGTCAGAAATAAGTGAACCGAATTGTAAGTCTGAGTCTCAGCTTGAGTCTCTCTCTTCCAGAGTCGGCAACAAGCTGACTTGGCGCCTCAACTTAGCAGTTGGGAAAACATAGTCCTAAATTTGCCAAATAAAATGCAATAATATGACTACTTGTAAACATGTCTGAGAAAGGAGTTTAGATAAATTATAAAATAATATTCAAAAACATTTTCTAAATTCACATCACTCATTTATCTTCACAGAAGCAGAATAAGTGTATATTTTCAGCTCAGTGATTTTTATGAAATTCCCACCCACAACATTTTGTGTAAAAAGTCAAAGAAAAAAAGTGAATAATCCAATGCCAGTCTGATGGTAATTCAAGGGTGCCTCAACAAACAAGATTAAGAGAACACAATGCTTCCATTTTTCTGAACTACATAATTCCATTTATATGAAAATAATGAACAGGTAAAATAGAAATATGGTAAAATTAGATTGTGGTGATGGTTGCATGACTATGTAAATACACTAAAAATCACTGAATTGTAAATTTTCCTTGGTTTAATTTTATGGTATGTAAATTCTATCTCAATAAAGCTGTCAGAAATTACAACAGACAAAAACTTGATAGTGCTAGGATTTTTTTAAAAGCCTGCTAACTTAATTTGTATTATATAGTGCCTATCTAAAACTGTTTCAGGTAATTCAGTAAAGTCTAATAAATTACCACTTTTAACTCAAAACTAATCTACAGTGAAAGAAATTGGAATACTGGTTGCCTGGAGTGGGGCTACAGACAGGAAAGAGGCACAATGGAACATTCTGGGTAACAGAAATGTGTTACATCATGATTGGAGTGTGGTTTACATATGTATATACATTTGTCAAGACTCATAAAAATGTACATTTAAGTTCTGTATGCAAACTCCACCTCAATTTTAAAAATTAAAGGATTAGTAGGGTATGACAAAAATGAGCTTGATTTGTACTTATAAAGGCATACCTGAGCTTTATCTCCAGTCCCAGGCGCATCCTTTGAATACTGTAGAAACTGTGCCACGTAAGTCATGATTGACTTTTCATCAGGACTGACAACATCCACATCTGCAAGACATGCCACACTGTCACTTAGCTATAGATGTGATTTACTGTAATTAACACTGAAGACAGCCTTAAAATGAACCAAAGTAGTCAACCAGCCATGCGATCTCTGGTCACTCGCCCTTGCTCCACGACAGCAGTGGCTAAGAACTTAGATCTAGAGCCAAACAGAGCTCAGCTGACTCTTGGCAGTTGTACATGCACAGCCTCAGTTACTACTACGCATGTTACACGCATGACAGCGTAAGTAGTGAGGGAGGGTGGAAAGGAGAAAATAAAGCTCTCCTCTTTCCAGAGAGACAGGACAGAAACCCCGCCAGAAGTGCAGAAACATAAAGTAACTGGAATCCTTCCTGACACACTGGTCCCAGCATGTATTCAGTAAAGCTTTCCCGAAAGTACATAACGTATGAAAGACTTGTTCAAGACATCCACAACATTTTATTCATTCATTCATGGAACAAATATATTCACTGAAAGCCTTCTATGGGTCAAGTTTTGTGTTACACTAACAAGAGTCCACAGTGAAATAAATTTGGAAAATGGTGAATTAAACAAAGTTTATAAAAATGTTATAAATTCCGTAGGTGCAGAACTTCTCCAGACATATAATAAATTAGGTAGATCACAAATTCACAAGAAGGGATTGCAGTATGTCACAGACAAAATGAACACATAATTTTGGGAAGTCTCTTGGTATGTTTCCAAAACAACCAATGGAGATTACTGAAAAGGAAATATCCTGTTTATTAATTCAGTTAAACTCAAGTCAACAAATATTTATAGAGAGCCAACAAATGCAAGTCACTAGGGGGGACTACTGGTCAGCTTAGTCCTTGCCCTTATGTTTCATTCCTTTCATCATTCAACAAGCAGGTGCTAGACACCTGAATCGATGCTAGATGCCCTAAGACATCTTCCCCTCAAGGAGCTTCCGGTTAGGAGAAAAACAAACAACTACTACACACTATGCAAGGACCAATGAAGCTCTGAGTCAGCTAAAGGAGAAAGTAAATTTAATTTATATACAAGTAATAAAATTCAAGGCAAGAGCATATAACAGTATCAAAAAAGCTGGGAGTGGGGTTTCAGGAAAGGAAGGATCCTTAAGAGCTGAGTTATTCTATCTTTTAATGAAAAAAAAAAGTAAATATCAATAGATAAATAAAATCATGATACTGGCTTAATTAGATTTTTTTTAAAATCTCATTGTACATGAAGCTATGCATAATGATTAAATGTTTTAACAAAATTATGTCAAAAGATAATTCCCTTATTCAAATATGACTATGGTATTTTGTTTGTATAAATAATCCTGATGTATTTCACATATTTTATCTATTTGTAAGCTATTTAAAATGAATTATGGACAATCATTCACAGAGAGGAAATTTGCTTTTATTATGTTATCTCTTTCTTTAGCTGCCTAGTTATTTTCACATACCAAAACAAAGTATTTTATACTAATAATGAAGATTTGAAGAATCAAAATATGTGACTTTGGGTGGTCACATACAATATACAGATGGTGTATTATAGAATTTGTACGCTTGAAACCTATATAATTTTATTAACCAATGCCACTCCAATGACTTCAATAAAATTTTTTTTAAGTCTGCAAGAAGCATTAAGGAAACAGTAATAAGAAATGGGGAACAGAACAGAGCATGGGGGAAAATTAAGGGGGGAAAAAAGATAATAAAAAGCCAAAAAGGAAAGGGAAAAGATAAAGAAAGGGGGGGAAAGGAAGGTAGAAAAAGCAAAAACTGAAGCAAGAAGATGGGAGGAAAAGTTAACATAAGAAGAATTAATAACAAGCAACATGGGGCCAGACTAATGACAAATCTGATATAAAGAGAAATGGAATCATTGTGAACTTAGAAATATCACCGAATTCAACTCCTGAAAACAAATGTAGTTCAAAAGGGCTAAGTACCCATAGCAATGAGCACCCGTAGCACCCGGACCTTGGTTTCCAACACCATTCGCCCATAAAAGGAACCAGGGCTCGCTGGAGACATGGCCGACCCCAGGACCAGGGTAGAAAATACACAAGATAAGCCTGGAGTACCTCATAGTGCCAAAAAATGAGGGTGTGCCCCCGAACAAGCAAGCAAATGCCACATTGATGGAGATATTTCCAAAGAGTACAGGAGCCAACTGAAAGAGCCAAAAGTTTGAACTTCGAATTTTTTTTTTTAACTTGAGCAATAAAGTGGTATTAAATACAACCCAAAGTATAAACTATCTGTGAGTCTATACTGATATAAATGGTTGGGTAAATAAATAAATGGAGAATAGGCAAACCTCCTGTGCAGGAGAATTCCAAATAACTTAAGTAGATAAGCTCCCTCAAGGAAGGTGAACATAACTGTCCTAAGTATGGGCTGTGCACAGAGACTTCCCAGTAAAGAGTACAGGGCGGAAAGAGAGGAAGCAAAGAGTAACTGAGGTTAGCCTATGGCAGAAATTAATTTCATGAAATTTAATAAAGAGTTTAAGTTAAACCCTCCAGGACTAAAGATAATGCTGTTTGCTTATATATGGATACTAGTATTTTCAAATCAACTTCACACCAGTCATTGTTCTAAAAATAAAGAAGCTTCGCCTGGCCAGGCATGCTCAGCAGTTGAGCATTGACCTAGAATCCAGGAGATCGGGGTTTGATTCCCCGGCAGGGCACATGCCCGGGTTGCGGGCTCGAGCCCCAGTGCGGGGCGTGCAGGAGGCGGCCAATCCATGATTCTCTCTCATCACTGATGTTTCTCTCTCTCTCTCTCTCCCCCCCCTTCCTCTCTCTGAAATCAATGAAGACATATTAAAAAAAAAAAAAGAAAAGAAGAAGAAGAAAGAAGCTTCTTTACCTTCTGGTTCCAGCAATTTGGGGATTTTTAATTCTCGCTCTGCAATTCTGAAGGCCTCTCTCAGATTGTCTTTGTTGGATCTATGCTTCACGCTCTTCATGTCAATTAGGTCTGGTCGCAAGGCATGAATGACAGCCAAAAAAGCCATCCCATTTCTCCAGCTTGACTTAAAATCTGTCACACTCACAGACTCGTGCCTATCACAAAAGGACAAAAACATCATACATCCTATTGAGTACGTCAAAGCACCCCACTCTCTTCAACAGTAATTAAAACAAATTTAAGTGAATCAAATCAATCATAAATCATTCTGGGAAAATATTTTATTTTAATCTTGTGGTCATATTAAAGTGAAATGCCAAGCATGATGAGGCTCAGAATACTACAGAAGAGTGGTTCTCAAAGTGTGGCCCCTGGGCCAGCAGGAGCAGCATCATGTAGGCTGCAGGTGCTAGAAATGCAAATTCTCAGGCCCCACTCCAGACCTACTAAATCAGCTCTGGAGGTGAGCCTGAAATCTGTCTTTCAAAGCCTCCAAGTGACAGTGATACCCACTCAAGTTTAATGCTCCTCACTCAACAATCTGTTGTAAAACAAAAAAAAAATTATGAGCACTAACTTTCCTTCATCGTCCCCCCTTTTCAAAAACATACACTCGCTTATCTCTGTTTCCTGACTGAGCTCTGAGTTTCTAAACAATGGGGACTGTGGTCTTTTAATGTATCATATACAGTTCCAGGAGATAATTTTATAAATTGGCCACTTATTCACTTATTTGTTCCTTCATCTACTCGATGCTCATTTATGGAGCACTTACCATGAATTCACATTATGCTAAGTTCTAAAGATACACAGTCAATTAAGACATAGCCTTGACTTTTAAAGAGCTCCTAGTGTGGTAAACTTTCTGAATCTAAGTCCACCCTCCAGATGCATAGGGGAATTATGCCTAAAAACAAGGATACTGAAAGACCACTTTATTTGCACAGTAAGAGGCCACCTACGCATGTGGATGGGACTGAGGTAAGTTACCCAGATGATACCATCTTCTGGTCTTCAAAACCAAGAGTGGCTGAGCTCACAGACTGCCACACTTGGAAGAAGCACTATGAGAGGAAGGGGGTAGTTAAGCATTTCCTTTTTATCAGAGGGAAGTGTTCAGGTGGTATTACACACAGTTGGCCTGAATTTCAGACCTAGAGGTCAGTAACGTTGTGTTGGTGGGTACAGCTGCCCTGTGTGTCTCCTCTGGTCATAGCAAACTACTTACGTGGCACACTGCTCCTGAGCCCACAAGAGAAGAGCCTTTTTCGCAGACATCTGCCACCTTTCTTGGGCTTGGGAGCATTTCTTAGTGGGAGGACTTGAGGTAGGAGATGACTCAACCACACTCACATCGTCCAGGGAAGGTTGATTGTAATTGCAAGAAAGAGTCTGGGCAAGTTCCTCAATCTAAGGAAGACATAATAATAGTTAACATGTACAGGATCATAAGTTAGCAGCCTTGAGGCAAAGCCTTCAGCCAAAACAAGACTAAGGAATATCATAAAACAATGACAGTTTACTGGTGAAATGAGAGCTAGCCAAAGCCTTGAATAACAGCATCTGTCATCTCGGGCTACACTTTGATTTTCTTTCAGTGAAGCTGGGTCACTCTCTACCCTCAATCAGGCATGGTGTTCCACATCGAGGGCAGGCATCTATTCATGCCCCTAACGTGCTTACAGAGTGTTTTACTGGTGCTCAACATCTGTGAACCTACATTGCACAGAACTAAGCTGAGCTCCTAGAGTATCTTCAGAGATTGGGTCAATTAAAATGCATCTTTGATTATAAACCATTAAGAAAAAAATACACATAAAGGAAAAAAAAACAGTCAAAACACATGGACAAGTAAGTCCCAGGAAAGAGAAAAAAATGTCATTATATATATGAAAATAACCTCATTAGTCATTTAAGAATCTAAATATATACAGCAAGAAAACAGTTTTTCACATATAACATGGGCAAAAATTTTTAAAGTTAACATTCAGTAATGGTGAGAGTATAAAAAACTAGATATTCATATATTGCTGGTAAACACAAAAATTGGTTCAGATTTTTTGGAGGGCAATATAATAATTACCCAAAATGTTAAATGATAAATTCATAAACACAGCAATATATTTCTCTCAATAACTGACAGATTCACCAGACAACCAATAATAATAATAGATGTGATCAACACAATTAACAAACTTGGTCTGATTGGCATACTCCATTGCACCTAAAATGGCAGAATCAACATTCTTTTCAAGTGCACATAAAACATTTACTAAAATTGGCCATGCTGAGCCATTAAGAAAGTTTCGACAATTTTGAAGGACTAGAAGAATTCAGATTATATTCTCTGACCACATTGGAATTAATCTAGAAATCAATAACAAAGATAGAACACACAAAAACCCAAATATTTGGAAATTAAGCAATAGATTGTTATAGAACCAATGGGTCAAATGAGAAATCATAATAAAAATTAGAAAATATTTTGAACAAAACAATAATGGAAATATTATATTCATGGATTAAAAGATGGAATAATTTAAAGATGTCAACTTTAATAATATAATAAATTATATGAATTATCAAATTTTAACATTTTTTATCACATTTCTTTTATTTATTTATTTTTAAATAAAACACAGATACAGTTCAAGCCTTCTGTCTTTCCTTCTCCAGTTCCATTTCCTTCCTTTCCGAGAGGAGGAAACCACAATCCTAAATTCACTTTCAATCATTCTCATGTGTATTATTCCACTATAACTACAAATGAAGGTATCCAGAAATGATAGTCTCATTTTACATGTTTTAAACTTTATATAAGTAAATTATGTTATTTTCTAAAATAAGCATTTGTTGCCCATGTAAATTTTTAAGTTATTTTTAAGGTATCTATGGAGATATAGAACATGGAACTTTCTAGATAACTGCAGAAAATCTGCACTAATTCGGAATCCCAGACCTGAAAGAAAAAGTGTCATAAAGCCAGTACTACGGCTGTCTTATTCACTGTTATTTTCTTGGTGTCTTAGCACAAAAACTAGCACATAGTTGGTGCTCAAAAATATTTGTAGAATGAAATAAATCTATGAGTTAGTCTTGGACCGAACTGGATATTGCAGGATTATTAGTCTGGGCAAAGGTCCTCAACAATAGAGAGATTTTACAAAATGTAGTGGGTTCGTTTTCAAGAGTTTACTCCAGGAGCTTTCTACTCTCTTCCACTGAAGTAAATAAATATAATAAGCAAAAATTTACCATGCTAGGTTCTATTCAGACTGGTGCTGATATCATTGATAATTCAGGATATCATGGTAATTCAGCTTTCAATTTTCAACTGAAAAATAACGTAAGTGGCAAAAGGGCTGCTACCTATTTTCCACCTGGCAAGATTTCCAGTGTCCTATATCTGGAGGAAGCCCAGGACTAAATCTGGCATCAAATCACACTTATTGCATTACACGTATTTCATAATGTGGTAATTAGAATAGAGATAATTTCCATATCATTGAACTACTTACGTGAAAGTGCAGTATAATTATCCAAATCAGGCCAAGAATAATGGATGGGTTTCCCTCTATAATGTCAGTAACATGAATATTTATTAGCTTGATCTAGAACAGAAAAAAATGCGGGTGAAAAGGAGAAACTATTTCACAGTATTAATCTCCCCAATGAATTTCCAAGTGAAATTCATACTCACCGATCGGCTTTTTAGGAATGTCAGGGCATGTTCTATATTGAGTCTACACTGGAATGTATTAGATCCTTTATCTCGAGGCTACAAAATTCAAGCAAAATATATTACTCAGAAACATAAATTTTATTTTAAAAGTCAGCAAAAAGTTTCTCAATATCATTTTAAGAGCTTACCAACTGTTGTCCTGAGAGCACTTCTAGCAGGTCCAGGAGGACGTGCCCCTTTTTAATGTCCGTGAATAGGTCTGATATCACTGAGGGAGGAGTGTGCTGCAAAAGGACACAAGAAAAATCATCTCAAACTTCAGTCCAAAAACACAGTACCTGTGAGACTCTAATAAATGTGCCTTGTACCTTTGCAAAAGCTAAGAATCAGCAGTGATTTTTTTTCTTAATCAACAGAATGACAGAGAACACACGAAGCTCCATATCAAAACATGATAAGCAAAGTAGCAAACTTATCTCATGGCGAATTTCCAGTGACAAACAGTCTCAGCTTTCAGCGAGAGCTTAACACCTGTGCGTAGAGGTGGCATTCAAGACATTTAGAATCCACCAAGAGCGACCCATTTGGGAAGCAGATTACATTTCTGGAGTAACCTGCTTAGGAATTTACCCTTTTTAGAATGGCGAGCACTGTGCTGGGAAGGGAAGCCTGTGAGAAGAGGCCCATTCATTTTGTATCTAGGTTGTTCCCGCTACTTGGCATCACTGAGAGGCAGCACAGCACAGCGATTAAGATCAAGTCCTCTGGGTCCAGACTGCCTGGAATTTGTATCCCATCACTATCACTTACAAGCTGTGTGGCTTTAGTGCTCCGAACCTTCCTTTCCCTGTTCTGTAAACAGGAATCACACTCATGGGGATGCTGTGAAAGTCACTGAAATGTAATGAGTAGCTAGTACAGGCACTCTCCAACTTAGGATGGTTCGAGTTCGAATTTTCAACTCTATAGTGCCGCGAAAGTGATATGCACTCAGGAGAAACCATATGTGGAATTTAGAATTTTGCTCTTTCCCTGACTAGCCATATGTGGTACGTACTCTCATGATGCTGGACAGCGGCAAACAGATGTTTGGTAGGTATATTAAACGCATTTTCGACACAGTATTTTCAACTTCCGATGGTTGGTTGGGACAGAACCCCCTAAGTCAAGGAGCAGCTGTACATCTGAATAACTTAGGAACGTGTCTAATGCATAACACTCAATTTATATGAATCATAACTGTTGTCACTTCATTTGGTAACAGATTTGTGTTGCTTTAAATATTTTTATAAAACACTCCCATGCCCTTAACAAAAGTGGCCCCTTTTGCGTGTAAGGAAAGAGTAACAAACCCGTGAAAACAAGATCGTGGTGACATTCAGCACATTCTCTCAACCTTCGACATGTCACCAGTGCCAGGGGGCAGGAGAAGCAACTTACATAAATTCATAGCTGAATTTGCTCTTTTTCTCCTCACCTTTGCCAACTGTGTGTTTATCCAGCAGGTGAAGGTTCTCTTCTGGGTGTCTTCCTGCTCCGCTATTTGGAAAGGACAACAGCAGTCACAAAAAGAGAAGCCCAGAAACCACAGGAGCATATCAAAGCTCCAAAGGTCTGTCGCTCAGGGTATATATCTATGTGTTTCACGATCTCACTGACCTCCTAGGACTTAGTCTCAATTTCAGATGTTCATCCCAGCTATTTTGGAAATAGCTTGTTGATGTGAGTTATTTTTTAAAGCCACAACTTAGCTGACAAGAGACTATGTTTTTAATACTTTTTACTGACCAAAGAATTAAGTCCCTACATGGCCTTGGCAGTGCTACACAAGGACCCGTGAGCAAAGAGAAGAGTTCGTAACCCAGGAGGACTTGCAGTCTAAGCCAACACCATGCAGTATTTAAAGAAAGAACCCAGAATGTCTGCAGACATTTTCAAAGGCTCCTAAAATCGTGGCAGTTTAGTCTTGACATTTACCATGAGTATTTATCATGGAGAATACACTGCCACCGAATTAACTGTAAATGACCTAACTGCAATTAGAGAGACCTGGGTTCAAATCCTGCCTGTTACTGAGTTGATATGTGACACTGAGCAGTGTCCTCATGAAATAAAGTTCAAATCACTGAGTTCGAGAGACTACTAATGATTCACTCAGAGTAAACAGACCCTGGCACATAGTGAACACATAAGCACTCGTTTTCACTCTTACTAACCAGGCGGGAGTCAAGGGAAATATCTGAACACTCAGAGTGAACCATCCCTCCCTCCCGAGGGCAGGAGTGGGCTCCACACCAACACCATGCTTCCCCACGCCTTCTACCCCCTCAGCTTTAGCTGGCATCTGCAACTCTGGGGCCTGCACACATGGACCAACTTTCCATTTCCATCTCCTTGTCCTGCTGGACTTGGGATAGGAGTAAGCCCAGGCTCCCACGTCTTGCTGTGCCTAACGTTCACAGCCTTGTCACCACCATCGAGTTCACCAGGTCTCATCGCATTTGCCTTTATCCCTGCTTAGGTATGTACACGCACACACAGCACACACATTGCACGCGCACGTAGGTACATACACACCCCAGGCTCTCGGGTCTCCCTCGGTTTTCTCTCTCTCTCACTTCCATGAAAGTCTCCACATCTCCCAATTTTTCTCATCTCCCACCCCTCCGTAACTCGTGAACGCCTTCCCCGTGCTGAAATTCACAGCACAGCCACAGGGCAATCCCCTGTGTGCCCACCACCCGCTCTGGGCCTTTCTGCTCTACTTGAACCCTGGCCTTCCTGAGAACTCTGCTCCCCCCGCAGCCTTCTCAAGTGGGGCGGTGCTTTCTCTTACAGACCTTGGGCCATGGGTTCCTTGCTCCTCGCTGCTACTTCCAGATCCTTTTCTAATCTTTTTGTCCCTGAAATGCTCCAGCTCCGACTCTCACGTCATCGGACTGTCCCCAGTGTTATAGTCATCTATTCTCCTCTGCCATTCCCCATCATTTCTCAAAGGCTTCAGTTCCTTCCCCACTGTCACTTTCTCCAATACAACTCTTGTCTAATTCTTGGCAATTTCAATATACTTACTGATGAACCTTCCAGCCTCCTGGGCTTTCCATTTCTTGAATTCCTCTTCTCCAATAAACGTGTCTTCTGCCCTGCCTCAATGATTCGCTGTCATTGTCACACCCAAGACCTCATCATTACTAATAACTACAGCTCCTCATAATCTCAATTTCACGTATCCCCACTTCTGAAAATCACCCAGTATCTTTTCAGTTCATTCCCTCTAGTGCTCCAACTCCAACAATCCTTGGAGTCCATCGGCAACTCCAACACGCTTAATACTGATTTAACCAGCTTTATACTGTCCCTTACCCCTTTAATATCCTTCCTCTCACCCTTACCCATTTTAAATGCCATGATCAATTATTACGAGCACTGCCTTGCACCTCTCACTCTGCTGAGTGCTCGGCGCTCCTCACTACACTCTGCTCAGGCACACCTACTACACGGTGCTGCTGAATGTGGCTGGAAGAAAATCCGGAACTGTGGTCTCACCGTGACACCCAGGTGGGCCCTCAGTGCCGCGGGGCAGTCACACTCTATTGCCCTCTCTCACGCACCTAAAAAGCAATTTCACTTTCTTCTCCTTTCTCAAACTTCTAACACCTGCCCTCCCATCAGACTCAGTTGAGGCCTTGCTTCTCAAGGGATCATCCACTCTCACCTAACGACCTGCCTCCGACCTGTTAGCGTGGATGAACTAGCCCTGCTCGGACCTAACACCAACCCCTTCACTCACTCCTCAGCTCCCATCGCTCTGAAGCTGCTCAAGGACATTGTGCTCCTTTCTCCCCCGTATCCATCTCTTCCTTTCCTCTCCCTCCTGCACCATTCCCATCAGTACAGATCCATGCTATTCATTCACCCATCTAAAAGCCATACCAGAAACAAGCCTCCTTGAGCCCCGCTCCCCATCAGTTACCGCTTCATTTGTCTGCTGCCCACAGTGGCAAAACTCCTCAAAGAGAGTGTTTATGGCCACTCTCTCTAGGTCCTCTCCTCTCTTAACAAAACCCATGCCAACCAGCACCTCACCCCTCCACTGAAACTATTCTGTCAGCAAGGTCACCATGAATCAAGGTCATCCATGACTAATCAAGGTCACCAAGGGTCGATTCTCAGCCTTCATCTTTCTGGAGCAATCAGCAGCATCTGATACAGACCATCACTCTCTTCTCCTGCTCCCAGGATCCTACACTCTCTGTTTTCCTGCGACATCTCAAGCCGGCTTCTCTCCTTCTCTCACACTTCATATCCAATGCCTCAGGAAATCCTCTGGGGGTCCGCCTTCAAAATATATTCAGGATATGACCACTTCTTACCACTCTGGTCCAAGTCACCTCCACCTCCACCGGGATGACTACAATAGATTCTTAACAGGTCTCCCCGCTTCCAGCCTTGCCCTCTAAATACTATTCTCAAGTCACTAGCATGATGTTGCTAAACGTACATGCCTAACTCCCTCATTTCCTTCAAACCTTTTTTTTTTTAATATATCTTTATTGATTTCAGAGAGAGGAAGGGAGAGAGAGAGAGAGAGAGAGAGAGGAAAAAAACATCAATAATGAGAGAGTCATCACTGATCGGCTGCCTCCTGCACGCGGGCATGTGCCCTGACCAGGAACCGAACCGCGATCTCCTGGATCCTAGGCCGATGCTCAACCGCTGAGCCACGCCCGGCCGGGCTCCTTCACATCTTGACTCAGGTGGCACCTCATCCATAAGATCTGTCTTGACCGTCCTATTTTAAACTGTAATACCCACAGCTCCTGCTTCCCCCTGTGCCCTCTATTTTTTCCTATAGCACTTACCACCTTTTAACAGTCTGTGTAAGTTATGCATGTAGTATCCTTACTATTTAATGCCTTGCTTGCCTCCCAGTAGAAAGTAAGCACCACATAAGCAAAGGCGTTTTGCCTCTGATATATTCCAGGTGCTTAGAAAAGCCTGGTTCAGAGTAGGCGCTAAATAAACATTTACTGGAAGAAGAATAATCTCACTCATTATTATTATTGTTACATTTGTTTGCTACGCTGAGAAGGTCAAATCTACCTGTAAGTGTTTATACTTATTTAAAAGTTGTCTGTTCTACCTTCTAATCCCCTGTTTTCCTTTGACTCTTGCCAGTCTTCCTTACAAACCTCCACCTAACACAGCTGTCATAGACTGAAATAGCTGGTATGACACTAGTTTGACTTCTCAACATTTTTTGACTCTGATGCGACTTCAGCTTGAGGGATAGAAGAGAATCTGAGTAAATGGAATTTTAGGGTGCTTACAACTGTTTATAAGTATTGTGACTGATTAGATATTAAAACTGTACTTCGCCTCAGTGGATCTTTATCTTTCTAAACTCATTTTATTTTTTCTGTGTTACCAATTTAAATTAGTTACAGCCCAGTGACTTATACATTGTAGGATGCTCAATAACTGTTAGCTGAAATGCATTCAATTCTGACAAGCCAACTGGATAGTTTAGGCTTTTCAGAGTTACTTCTGTTCTATATAAATTTCACGTAACAGAAGAATTACAAATATCACAATTTTGTCCTATAATTCAAAATGTTACTAAGTCTTCTGGAATCTCTGAGATATGTTTTCATTCGCTTTTTCCTCTGGGATCAGTAGACAATAAGACAAACACTTTAAACACACACCAATGCTTACCAAAAAATGTATTGAGGGCTAACTTTGTTCCTCAATAGAAAAAAACTAGAGAATGAGTTTTTACGATCCCAGGATCAAGTCACATGCACATAATATACATTAATCAAGACCATGTATAGCCTGGCCGGGTGTGGCTCAGTGGTTGAGCATCGACTTAGGATCCAGGCGATCGGGGTTCGATTCCTGGTCAGGGCACATGCCCGGGTTGTGGGCTCGATCCCCAGTCGGGGGCATGCAGGAGGCGGCCGATCAATGACTCTCTCTCCCTCTCCTTTCCTTTCTCTGAAATCAATAAAGATATATATAAAAAAAAAAAAAAAAAGACCATGTATAAAAGCAGGGAAGGACCTACCCATTATTATAACAGAAATAAAGCAGAAATTCAAAACAAACTACAAAAAAAACAACAACAATGATTCTCTTCCTACCTTTAAAGAACCAAGAGAGACTTCTTCCCAGGAGACAGAATGTGAAAAACAACCTAATCAGGAACACTACCAGGTCCAGGAGATAGAATCTGCAGTGACTTTAGGGGAGTTACAGGTGGGGGATGGGGGTGGACGGGGGCACTTTTAAGTAACCATGGAGGGGTGAAATGATGGCACAAAACTGAATATAAAAAGAGCATTATGTGCTTAAGGAGTTTTAGTATTCCAGGTGCACCTGGAAACCAAACAACTTCCTAGTAAGATAAGGGATTATTTCGCTCCGATGCCATGCTGGACAGAAGGTATCTTGGTACTGAGCAAACTGAGGACTAGAGAGGAACTTTCCCAGGCTAAGAAAACGGGCGGCAAAAAAAACACAAAAAACAGGGTTCT